TTTTGGAAATCTTTTTTAGTGATGGCAGACATTCACTTGTTCTCTTTTACCCCACAGGCTCCCAAAATAATGGTAAACATAAATGGGAGGAAGCAGAGGTCCTCGCTGTTGAAAGACAAATGATGCGTTTAATTCAAGGACACAAGGTGCCTCAGAAAAACGACTGCATTCAGTGTCTCGAGGCTGAGCCAGAAGCGCTGAGGAAACCGTTCATGGAAAGGTGTAAAGGACTACGTCAGAAACAGGATCACTGCCCTGAAAAGACAAAGTGGAGCTTCTCGGGCTACGTCCACAAACAGTAACTTGCCCGGGCAAGTGGAACCGCAGCAGAGTACCGGACATTTTCAGCAGTTCTGAACGTGATATTTTGTCGGTGACAAAATCTGTTTGTGCAACTTTGCTTTCCCACCTTTTTATCCTTCACCTTCATCTACGTCTCTGATGCAACGTTGTGAGAGTTTCCATCCATTAGGATGAAGAATAGATTAATATTTCATCTTTGTTTTTTTTAAGGGTTATGATTACAGTATATCTGTCACAGTGGTTTTATTCATTTAATTAACTTAATTTGTAAATAGACATCTCATACATACTGAAGAATGATGTATTTTAATTTTTTGGAGCTGCAAGTTAACTTCTGTGATCAAGTTATCTGGCATTTTGTATTTTGTTATTCTGTTTGGTACACTGTATTCTCTTTGACTTTGTATAACAACTTGCCACCATTAAAAAGTGCCAAGAATAATATTTGTGTTTGTTAACAAAAAGATAAGTTACCCGTAATTCACTCATAATATGGTTAACGCACCTTAGTGATTTGCGTCACCCGGTGATGTTTATTATCTCCATCCTTGCATGTATGAAGGACATCGGTAAAGGCCGTGGTCAGAGAACTTTGCAGATAGCAGCAAAGTAACCCATTCAAAATTTTACTAATGTAACAATACAGGATGTGTTTAAAATATCAAAAAGTGAAAATAGTCATTAGGCAGCAGAATTGCCCATGTCAGTGTTATATATAAACCTGTGTCAGATTATATATATATAATGTGTGGTGTGTATATATATATGGTACATTTGTTAAGTAGTAATCCTTAATGTGTAATTTTATAAACTCAGGTTTTCTATGTAAAAGCTAAATCTGAAAGTAACTGCAGGTGTTAATGCAGTGGCGTCAAAGTTACGATACTTTCTTCTGAAATGAAGTGGAGATAAAGAAGCATAAATTAGAATTACTTTGAAGTACAGTACCTCAGAATTGTACATCGGGGAAATATCCTTTGACTGTGTCAACTAACTATTTCTTGGATCCAACAATCAAATGCTTTTACTTTCAAAGGAACCGCAGAAATGCGTTGTGATTCATGCTGGCATGACACTAACAAGTAACATATTTGTTATCAGGGAATTTTAATTTAACGCAAACATTTATTTGAACCTGTAGATTAATATGTATTTGTAAGAGATGACGCTCTTATTCTGAAAACCGAAGCGGAAGTGTCATATCATGCACAGGCACCCGGAGGTAAACAAACTAACTCCTTTGCAGTTCATGTAATGGTACTCATGTATAAACATTTGACCAAAAATTGGTTGTATTTTCTGCAGATATGGGTTTTTCAGCCTTGTCATTAGTTTGGAGACGTTGCCAGTTACGAATAATAGTTATAATAGTACGAATAATTCCGCACAGTCACAACAGCTTAACAATGTAGCTAGGTAAGCTAACGTTTAAGAACTGAAGAAATTGGACACCACACTGCTAAGAGTAAGATACATTTTGCCAATCAATAAATAACTGCCACGATTTAGCTACCCATGCTCACTTTAAGCATAACTCTAAAGAGATTATGGGCAAATAAATAAGTATCAAAGTTCTCAAAGGACCCCGTAAATGACAGACTACGACTTTGGGTGATAAACGTTAGCTTCAAGGGTAACGGTAGTTGGGGTTTAACCAAACTACTAAAAACACATTAATTACTAAACCTAATCTTTTAGTTCACAAGAGCTTCACACAGTTAATATTGTAAGATAATTGGTAGATTAATGGATCATATTATAATTGTCAAAATCTGTACTCCAACATCCTCTCTAGCCTTCCTAGTTATAACTTCAGCTGAATATTAACAGTTTGTCATTCTAGAGAAGAACAGAAATATTAAGAATCCTTTTCTTTCTGAAACTTGTATTAGGCTGGTTTTCAATTTTGAAAATGTATGGCTATTTGTAACGTGCTTTTTATTGGTTGATCATTTCATGATATTCTATAGTATCATAATTTTTATTTTCAGCTTGTCTGCCTATAAGAGCCCTTCCAACTGTTTCTCTGTCATGTCTTCACATTGTTCAGTATAATTACCTAAACCACACACTCACTCACCTCTTGTTATGTCTAAGTTACACAAGGTGGAAGGCAAACCACAATAATTTAAAGGGGCCATGTGTAGTTTTCAGTGGTCTCGAGCAGTGAGCTTTCAGATTGCAACCACTACCTTCCCAAGCGTGTGCTTGTGCGCATGCTCAGCTTGACTTTTAACTAATCCATGCTTCGTTGCGTGTCAACATTACATTGACTGAATTTAGCTGACACGATACATCGGCATTAGCTAGCCTGCCACAATTTCAATAACTATTTGAGTATCTTTCTTCGGAGAGGCTCAGCAAAGTCAGCATAGCTGAACGTATTGGGTGATAACAGTTAGAGAGCTTGTCTGAATATTATAAATGAGATTGTTGCCACACTTTATAACGGTTAGGCCGCATTGACATTCCACATTTGCTTTGTACCGTCACATCATTTCTGTCAGGCTAAAATCAAGTTGCTCAGTGTGTGCACGTAACACAGTGTGGTTGAGGGTATCGATGGGCCAATACCGCGGGAACAGCTGAGCAGCTAGTCAGCGATAGGGACTATATTAACAGTATGAGAAGACGCTCCGTTGTAGTTAGCGCCGGTCGAAGTTGTCATTTTCGAAGTGATCGTAATAAATAAACACACATACAATCCCTTTCGTCCCAGAGAATATTTCTCTTCATCCTAATCACATTTTCTGTCGTCCCCAGGTCAACGGGACGCTGTTAGTCTCGAGCCCTGTTGTGTGGAGTTTATGTTGGAGCTTGTGTTGTGCTGGGAGCGTCTAGTTTTTTGGTAGTAGTGGACTCCATTTTGTTAGCTGCGGTGTTGTCGCTGTTCAGACAGTTCAGAATCAGTAGGCAACATGGCATCACAGCCTCCATAAACCAATGGATTTCACAGAACATCTGACCCATTTGTTCACATAGGAGGCAGTATAGTGGCTGCTCCAAGCGACTGAGAAAGCAGGCGTGTGGTTCATTTGGTTCATCATTCATCATGAGGTTACAACCAGTTCACAAATAGGCAATAAAAAAGTGATTTATTTCATTACAAAACTACATATAGCCCCCCCCCCCCCCCCTTTAGATGATTGTTTTGAAATTTATCCTATAATTAAAGAGAAATAAAATCATTTTCGTTTTGACCCTGAATATCAATTCTGCATGTTGTTTTGTCTCCAAAGGAAATAACAGAGACTGCAGTCAACAAACTGTGATGGTTAGGGAGAATGATGGACAACCTGACAGCAAATAAGAGTCGCAGAGCCTGTCAGTCGCAGGCGGTCCGGAATGGCTGGCCAACAACTTTAACTCAAGGACCCTCTCTCAACCGCTGCCCACCTCTCAGCATCTCAACCTGGGCTCGTCTTGTGACCAGAGACCCTCCTACGACCACCTGCAGGCGTCCAGCCAGAGCTGTATGGGTGATCTCAGCACCTTATCATCCAGAAACACTCTTCACTCTGCCCTGTACAAAGGCCCTCACAGTAGCAACAATCCATCATCCAACATGCTGTTTGCCAACACTGCTATCCCGTGTGACTCTCACATGATTTCCTCATTTGCTCAGCAAATCCCTCACACTTCATCAATGCTGCTAACTGCAAACCAAGGAAAAAATATCCCACCACCATCTCTCCCCCAAACAAACCAAGCTTCAAAGCCCTGTAGGTCCCAACATCTACCACTTTTCTCACCCCACGACCCATACAAAGCTTCATTTCAACCGCCATTAACCAATCAGGGTGTACCAAACGGAGTTCAGGATCAGCCCATTAGCCTGCCGTCGTGTGGACCGCATGTAAGTACATCTCAAGCTGCTTTTGAAGGAGCAAATGTAGAATTTCTTGGTGGTGCCGGAAACATTCACAGCCATACCTCATCCACTTCTTAGGAGCAGCGTCAGTGGATACCTTCATCACCCTGCAGGGGTAAGCTGTATTTATAGTACCTTTGTGGTTCTCTGGCTTGTCCCTCGCATTGAAGGATGAAAGCCTCTTCAGTGTGGTTAAACAGTTGTTGTTTGATTTGTGTAAACCATGTTTTAGCTGTTTTGTTTATCCTTGGTATCTTGGATGTTCAGATCTGAAATCTGTGACTGTTGTTTCAATTTGAGCAACCAGATTGGTTTTTATTTCACTTGAATTTTCAGATCCTAATCAAGCTGATTGAATTTGAGCAATTAGAATATATATTTTGAAGATCTTAATTTGTGAACCAAAAAAAACATATGTACTTTAAATAAAGTTTTTGAAATTGCACATCTTGAAATTGACAAAAAGAAAGGTGACTTCAGAGCACATAAATTCAGATTGATGCTTTTCAAAATAAAAAATGTAAGTGCTCTAAATTTAGCAATATTTAAATTTCAATTAAAACAGTGATTACATTTAGACATTCAGTAGCTTATAAGATTAAAATATGTATGAACATTATTTACTTCAATATGTGGCTCAACTGAAGTACAACTTGTTTGTGGTAATGAGTTACCTCTTACATTGTCTGACTATCTTTTCCTCAGGAACTGTAAACGAGTCTGTCCCTGATGCAGCTGCTCATCTTAACAAAGAACCAACGCAAGAAGGGAACACAGCTCCACCGGTGAGGAAATGAACAGCACCAAAAGTTATTACAGAAGAAAGTTTTGTTGTTTAGTGGTCTATTTGTTTGTACATATCTTCACAAATAGTAGTGATTAGTTTATTGTACACAATGTAAGTTACTTGAACAATAGCATCTACCTATGTGAATGAATATTGCCTACCTCCTGGGTAGAGTGGGTTGCCTGTTAATCAGAAGATCGGCGGTTCAATCTCCGGCTCTTCCAGGCTGCATGTTGAATGATCTGTTTTCAATCTGCTTTCAGACCAGCAATGAGAAATTTCGTTCCGCACTTTTACATCACCGTGCACAATTGCGTCAGCAACTGTCTGAGTTGGATAAACTAGTAAGTGTGTTAAAGCAATGTTTTAATTGAAGGTGGTCAATATTATTTCTTCAGATAGTTGCTATCCAGTACAACTAGGGGTGTGACGATACACTTAGCTCACGAGACCAGACAAGACACGATATTGGGGTTATGAGAATGAGAGAAGACAGTATTTTAAGAGTGTTAAGAAATCTTCAATGATAAAATGTAAGACTGGAAAATAGTATTTTATTCAACTAAAAGTCAAAAATGCAAAACAATTCAAGTGCATTTTGAAATATTGCTTACATGTTGTTCGTGCCTTGTCTGTCACTCTGTCGCTGTTTATTGGTTCCACCGGGTATCCAAAATGCTGCCACACAAACTATTCAAAAGTGGTGGGGGCATCTTTTATGCTAATTTCACCCTCACCTCAACGAGAAATATCGTCACTTTTTAATATCGCGAGATCTCGTGGCACGACTCGTCACACCCCTAAGTACAAACTTGAAATTATAAATGGCTTAAATACCTATTAGAGGGATGTTATTGAAAAGTCTACACAGTTACTTCCAGTTGACTTAACTTTGTCTCCCCATTAAGCTGAAATCAATACCTCCAGATGACAGCAGCGATGGGCAGTCTCCACACACAGCTATTGAGGTAGGTTAAGTTTTTTAGATGCTGCCTGCAGTTTGAATGAAGTACAACAATTAATATCTAAAACACGCACAAAACCGGCAATGATTGGTTTGCCAGAGCTGAAGTGGGGAACAACCGTAGCAACAGAGTAGGCTACAGACAGAAGGAACATGGAGAGCCTACATGTCATAAGCAGGTGTGGACAAACTTCCTTCTACAACATATCCTCACTGTAGGTGTTGCATTTTGCTCTGTCGTTATGTTTTTGTAGTGAAGCTAAGCCAAACTTTTGATTGTTTGCTGCAGTCCGCCATGTTCCAGGAATGTAAACAGAACTCTCTTCTCACATGCTTTTATCATTCCAACTTTTATGGACTAAAATGCTCACTGAAGTTCATTTGGGAGCACGACTGAAATATGCAAAGAGTTAGGAACCAATGAGCAGAACAGAAATGATGTCTTAACGAATCCACCGTTCTTGAAAATTTGGTAACAGTTCCAACCTGGAAGCGGTTCTCGATACCCAATCCTACACGTAGTAAGGTAAGCGTATTGTGGCGATAACATTCTGACAAAAAAAGATACTTGCCTACCACAGGGGTAGTCAGTGAAAAAAGTTAATTTCAGCCCATGATTGGTACTAAGTAGTTTGTCAACAGTTTCACAATTCCATGTGATATATTATGGCATTAATCATAAAATGGCGGCCCCGCCAAACTTTCCATGTGGCCCGCAGAAGGGCCACAGATGAAAATATTGCAATATTAATATATTTGTTGTATTACAACTCTGCGTTTGTGGCGAAATGCCCTGTAAAATGCTGGATTAAGTTATTGTTAATGCAAACTGAACACGAACACACAAATTGACTTTTATTATGAAGTAGTCACAGAAAATTCAATGTGTTAGTCAGTGAAATTAGCACTGACCGCTATCGTTTATCAAAAAATGTGTCTACAAAACAGGACAATGGTCATTTTAAACATTTTATGACTGCACGCGACAGGCTGCACACCTCCACCTTCTCAGCCAGGTAACCAACTCCTTTCACTTTTGCTGTTCACACTCCTGTCGTGTGCAACATAAAGTCAAATCATGACTGCTCACATAATTGGGGAAAAAGACCATTTACTGCCTGATAATAGTTTCTTTAGCTGCCCCAGACTTCTGTAACATGCAGTATTAAACCGCATTTTCTGTTACCACCGGTAACTACAGGTGTCATATGCACATGCATTATAGCAGACTCTGAAAAAAACGGTTGAATATTTTTCCTGCCAGTGAGTACTGCATCTTTCAGTTACATTTACAGTTACAGATTTTAACCATATCAGTCCTTAGTGAAGAGCCTCATGGCAAAAGTCTGACAGCATGTTCTAATTAAATAGGCTAGATATCATAATGGATTTACCATATTTTTAGGAGTCTGTTCACATTGATGAAGGCTAATTAAAAAACACTTATTTCATGAAATTTAAAATTTTAACCCTAATATACTAATTAAGCCTAAGTCAAAAAATGAAATGAGCAGTGAGAATTTCCGCTACTCGTTGAGCTATGTTATACTGTAATTCATTTTCAGTTGCAGTTATTCAATAGTAAGTGTTTTATTATAAACATACAATTGAATGAACCCCAGGAAGTATGGCCAATGCTTATTCTAATAGAAAATAATACTTTTCAGTTAAAGAAAAGTTACAAAAATGTTTGTGTATGGTATCATTTTAGTTCTTAGAAAGAAATTCGTAATCGGCTTGTCAGAATCAGAAAGCTCAAGGAAATTACAATCGACAAGTTCAAGGTAAACTTTATTATCCCACAAGGGGAAATTCATGTGGTCATACACATCCTGTTTACCACACACACACACACACACACACACACACCCCATGCACCCACACATCCACCACAGAGGAGGTGATAAAGTATCCTATACAATGCTGGTAAATTAAAATATACAGTAAACAATCTAAATAGCCTAATACATACAATGGTAAAATCTGTCTTTTTATCTAATTGCACAAACGTCTATAAATCCTATCATGGCAATATGGAAAATATACTACAATATGCAACATACGATCTAAATAATCTGATATAATAAAATCTAAGATTGAGAACACAAAATGACATTGCACCTTTATAACCAGACAGGTGCGTTGGAGTGGGACAGGAGAGTCAAAAGTAGCAAAGAAAAATAAAATCTAACAAATGATCATGGGTATTGCACAGGTGTGCCTTTGGCTGGCCACAATAAAAGGCCACTTGAAAATGCATTGTTTCCCACACATAGGCTTTATTTGGGCGGGCCGCCCAGGTAGATTAACAGCCGCCCAAGTAAATTTAGTGAGCCGTTTTAAAATCGTTTTTGATTGCAGTGCTGCACAGCTCATATTAGCTCCGCACATCCTGTCACTCGGTCTCTCTCTCTCTCTCTCTCTCTCGCATACACGGACAACGGACCGTCTGTGAATTGAATGGTTGGTATAAGAAACCGCTGCACAAATCTGTCCAGCGCAACGCTGTCAATGTTGGAGACCCATCTTCAAAACGGGTTATTAGCAAGCATGTAATGAGTCTAGCTAATTAGCATAGCTATGTTAACTTTGGAAAACAGCTGTCGAAGTAACCACGCTGTATAACTGGTAGTCAATAGGTGTGTTCCACATAACTGTGGCTGACTTTCGCCGACTTCACAGTCTAAAGGCTCGTGCAGACTACACGACTTTCAGCATCGATCGATGACCATGCAGTTCACACTACACAACTTGCCATCTTGTGACGGCAGTCTTGAAGTCATTGTGGCGTTCACACTACGTGACTGATCGGTG